GGGTCTTAGGTCAGCCGTGCATAGGTAAGCTGGACGATGGTATGGCTTGTCTCAGAGTCACAGCACAAGATCACACGATGCCTGGACGGCTTTTTGTAATAAAGGCTCTCAAGGCCCTTAATACTCTTATCATGTGCTATTCAACCACTGAATCATTCATAGATCCCATCAGGTATTTTGCATGTTGTAGCCCATTTATTACTGATTGTGTGTTATTTCTGTTACTGTCAACCATTTTCCAAAACATGCAAGGAATTTTAGATTGAGTGCCGTGCTTGTACTTATACTCCAATGAGCCATCAAATACAGATCAATATTTGATCTTATGGTTAGCGTTGCTTTACAAAAACAGTCTCCATCAGTAACCAATCCATGGCAGAAACAAGCTCACCTGAAGTAACGAACCACAGCTTCTAACATACACATCATAATAAAGAGGACATGTTCCAAAAAACAGACATTTTCCTGCTGCATACTGCCTTTTTCTTTTTATTGAAGATGTAAAGTTTCCCAGTAACCAGTGACGATAAAAAAAGACGTGGGCCTGTTGTGAAGGACACCTCAGGATTCTGTTTACAGGGTTAGTAGTGGTGTGACAGATGGGCCTCCTCCACACTTCTCAGTGTATGACAACATGCCTGAAGCACCACACAGACACAAAACTGGCCTCACACATCTGCTGGACACTTTGGATGTGTGTGTGTGTGTGTGTGTGTGTGTGTGTGTGTGTGTGTGTGTGTTTGTTATATGTTGCATAGTAAGAAAAGACTGGCCAAAAAAAAGACATTAAAACCTTTTGATATCTCATATGTAAGGTGAATTGTGTTGTTTTCATCTTCTTTTTTATCATTATTAATATTGCTAATATTATTATTAGGATACATTTTGCTTATTTATTAGATTTTTGGTAAAAACATTCTGGTACAAATTATTAATGTTTTATTCAAAATACAATCATTTAAGTGTGTTGCAGAGGTTTAGGTGCATTGATTCTACTGGTATACGTGTCTGAGTGCATGCATGCATGTAGTCTTTGTGAGTATGTTTGTGTGTTTATCTAATCTACGTGCATCTGCTCCTCACATGTGAGTGTGTGCGTGCACAAGTGCATGATCAGATGTAATGCATTCAAGTCTATGACGGCCCATTCACGCCCATTTTATTTATAACTCAACGATTGTACAAACGTCACTCAAATGTCATAATACTCGATATACACCAATCATCTTAACTTAAGCTTGTTATGATGACATGTAAAGGTTATGGTTGATTATGTGTTAGATAATGCATTTTAATGTATTGAGGCTTATTTAGTCCCATTGTATTTACAACTTGTATAACGGTTATAAAACACTCACTGCTGCACGTTGATGAACTGTGAGGTCATTATGAGGACATAAAACTGTTTATGAGTTATACATTATAATGCATTAAGGCCTCCATTAAATCCAATTGCATCGATAACTCAGCTAACACATTAAGGTCAGCGAGCTCTCATATGATTTCCAAGTCATTAAAAAAAAATCATGCAAATTGCATTAACGCATACAGCAATCCCATGCATTTTCTTTCCTCGCACAATCACGGTCTAATGTGACTGGTTGATTGACTGACTTTGATTCAATCACGACCTCACTCTGTTAACTCCATGAAAAAGGTGCTCCTGAATAGACGGCACCGCCCGTGAAGAAAAGAAGAGAATACAATAAACGACTGGCTACAAAAAAACCTTCGCGTGT